GTCCAAAGAGGTTGTATTCTACAGTCTGCCTGAATGTAATCATTGCGTAGGTGTGTAGTGTGATTCTGTGTAGTTTATTTATGACATCCCGTTGGATGTGACGTCATCTAAACAGGACATCGCACGCTCACTGCTTGATAGCGCGCGAAGGTCTGTTTACGCCGGTTGTTAAACAACATCGTTAATGTTGGAAGATAAGGAGGAAGGACAATCAATACTGTACATAGTAAATGTGAGGTAAAGTGTGTCGCCAATGTAACCGGTTAAAACTCGAAGTGGCGAATTTAACATGTATGGAAAGGGTTAAATTTGAATTCAGGATTCCTGCATATACCCTGGTCTAAGACCTTGTGCTCTATTTCCAACATGAGTGTATTATCCTTTTTATCAGTTTAAGATTTTTTTTTTAAATGACAAAGTTAAATGTGTATTAAGATTGGAGGACTGGTCATATTTTGCTTGGGTTGTTTTGTTTTAGTGAATGCATGTTTTTTTTTTTTTTACGGATTCTTAACTTGGACTTTAGTTTCAGATTTTACTGAAGAAGAAATGTAAGTAGTCATGTTTAGACGTCTTCAGCAGAGGACAGCATCGTGTACACTTCGCAGGGTAAAGGATTCTTCACTGCACTCTGACAACGGCACACAGTTTTAAAACAAATGCATAGACAAATACATATTAACATCACAAGTGAGCATTTTTATTAACTGCCTTGAAAAAAAATGAAAATATGACTAGTGCATAACATACTGCCCTGTCTGCCCATGCTGGTTGCCCATTACATTTCCATCCTAATGATTTAGTGTCAAAAAGCGTTACATGTGGAATTAAAAAAGTTAGTTTTAGTTTGTATTTAGTCCGTCTTGGTTAGTCTTTGCAAATCCTCCAACTTTACAAGCAGATTATTTGAATAAACAGAACTTTTCTGTCAAGTACATAATGGCACAAAGTGTACTGTGTATTTAGGATTATTTTGGCTCCTGATAAGCCAAGGAATTCAACGGTAAAAAATGATTAACATGTTTAATAGGTCACGCAAGCCCTCAAGTATGCCAGTATACTACAGTATGCAGTCATTGTACATTGAGTTGTATTATAATGCCATATGCAGCACCAACTTGTGCTTTTGCAAAGTAAAGTGTCTCTGCATATTATTCTCAACGGAGACTTTTCACATTATAAATATGTTGTATCACTAAACATCTGAGCTGAACCCTGAGGAAAATACCTACATAAAACAAACACAACATCTATTGAAAAAATATTCCCAGGATAACAAATCTGGTTTGCTTGCATCTGTCATCACCTGTTTAGGGGAGCTATGGAGCTGCAAAGAGCATCAGGGACATCAGGTACCTCTGACATTTGCAGGATGACCCATTTGACCATTCAGTAAACTTTCACTCATAGGTCAGCCGGATGTCTTGTGACGTGGGAGAAAAACAAACTGCAGGTATGTATAACTCTTATATGTACATGTCACGGTTAGTACGGTCACATGTTTCCAGTTGAGATTAATCGGTTTCTGCTGTTACTGCAGGTGAATAAGGGCAAATAAGCAATAGCTGCGACCATGTTCAAGCACTGACACACATGCACAAACACACATGCAAACGCACACAACCTTACACATATTCTCTGCTGAACTGAATGATGCCTCCAAGACGAGCGAATGAAAAACAGATCATGAGTTTGTGATAAGTGAATTTGTATATTATGTTCTTTTTAAATAACCTCCACTCTTTTACTGATACACTTCCTTTTAGTCAACTGGTGTTAGCAGTCAATCTNATTATTTTTTACTTGAATTTTTTTCTTTATTAAAAATAAATCTATTTGTAAGCATTTTGTTTAACAATATAATAATCAGACCCTGCAATAGAATAAATCAAGTTTCACTTTAGTTTTTCAAGTAACTCAACTCTAACTCACTAACTCACTCACTCAGCATCATCAAGGTTATCTTTTAGGAATATGAGCATGTCCACATTTCCAGGTAGAAGCTGGGATGTTGGAGCGTTTACAATATCCCCTGCTGTGGAAAAAACTCTCTTGCTTGGTACTGATGTTGCTTGAACAGAGAGATATGCTTTGGCCATGGGTAACAGCAGTGGGTCAAACTGCATTGTCTCTCCACCACTTCAAAAACAATACCGTTATTGCCAAGAAGGTGAGGCTTATTGACAGGGCGAGATATAAATATACTGTTGGTACTTGTCCATGTCTCTAGGTATGTACATGTAGCCCTGTAAATACGATGTCCTTTTGTGTTATCTGTTGTTTTATGTTCATGTTGTAACCTACTTGCTGCCATGTTGGACAGGTCTCCCTTGAAAAAGAGATCAATGATCTCATCTGGTTAAATAAAGGTTTACCGCGATATCGCGATATTCAATATATCGTTACATCCCTAATAATTAGCTAATGTGGGATATGTAAGTGTCAGTGTACAAGAGACATAAATACCAATACATAAATACAGAGATACTGAATAAACTGAATGTTGAGATTGTCCACCAGAGCCTCGATGTCATGCTCAGTACCTTTTGTTGACGTTCTTTACAATATAAAGTACCTTTATGAAATATGTCTATGTGGAAAGAAACATCTTAACCAACCTGTATCATTATTTGCATCAGCTGCAACAAATCCACTAATGTGTTTATCTTTCAACTCCAGGTGTGCCAAACGACTGTAAAGCCATTTGTAGAGCTTTTTGGCTTAAAATAAAATAAACTCCTTGCTTTGTGATTTGTGATTTAAATGAGAGAGCAGCTGCACATCTCACATGTAAGGAAATGTCCTGACGACAGAGCTAAATGGATGTTTTTGTGAAGCGTCAGAGCTGCTGCTGCTACTGCTGTCAGGGTGGTAAACAGCTGCTGATGAATCTGAGCCGTGGCCTTTCCCTCCCTCAGAGACTCAGGATCATTTATCTGGCAGATTTATTGATCGGCTGCTGCATGCTGCTGCATCCCCAACGCAATCAGGACTGCTGCTAATTGTAAAAGTATTGAGAGCCGTCTGTCACATACGTGTTAGTGTGTCACTTTAATAAACAAGTGTTTAAGGATGAAGGAGAGCCATGCAGGCTATTCTCTCACCTACAATTAAATAATGCAAATTAGGTTTTTATATATTTTTGTATATCTTTGCATTTTCCTAACCAGATGGAGTATCCGTGTCTTTCTTTTTTCCATCAGGGGTCCCTTTATCTTCATCTCCATCACTTTTCTTAGCGTCTTTCCCCTCCTTTTAATTACATTTTCTTATAAAGTATCATCATTAGACTTCATGAAGATATTGTATGTGAAATGGGACACCTTAATAAGCTATCAGAAGCTTGCATCTATCTGCTCTTCCTTAGAAATTCCCTCCTTTCCTGTTTTTATTTATTTATTTATTTGCATAAACAGCTAATTTCAGCCCAATGATAGAGGGTGGTGGCGGATGTATGACAGGGCAACATCCGGAGTGTGTGTGTGTGTGTGTGTGTGTGTTTTCAGGTCGATGATCTTGATGCACACTGACTTCCACATGTCAATCAGCCGTATGTCACCAAAGTTGAACTGTAAAAGCCCTGAAAAGGAGCTGTCACCGGAGCGCCTGCAGGGAAAACGAAGCAGGAATTGAATCTAATCCTCAGACTGATGCTTGGGAGAGACACATGACGCCAGGCTGGTGACTAAATGTTTTTCAATATTAAAAAAAGGAAGAATAAATATGCCATGTAAACTGATGGGGTGTGAGCAGGCTTGAAGCTTATTGGCTGTTTGGGAATAAGATGGTGGAAAGTCTACATTCTCCTTTTGAGCAACATCAAGCTCATAATTTAATTATTTTTATTTTTTTCTAACAATCAACAATCAGAAAAAACCTCATGTATTCCTTTTTCAATGTTCAGATTATTACAAACTCATACACACAGAAGGTCTAGCCCATCCTTGCTTTATGCACTCCAAGACTGCTAACTTTAAGAAATTATAAAAACCCCTTCTTGAATATAAATGAATTTTAATCAATCAGCAATTTCTCTAGAGCTTTTATATTCAGTATACGAGATGTGATAATTGACTCATAATCTGCAATGTTTGACAAATTAGAGAACTAGGTTGAAAACACTTTCATCAATAACGCTTTGATTCATCTCAAAGACATCGTTTCATTTCTCTTTGAGCAGCTCTGCACCCTCTCCAGGGAAAATCTGTTGTATTCTGTAGGAGGCATTACTGATGAGTAAGAATATAAGAATAAGGTAGTATAACCTGCAGAGGCTTAATTAAGTTCAGTGAGAGTCATAGATGTATGGGTATAATTGAGTACTTAAGGAAGAGCTTGGCTCAAGAAAAGTACACACACACACACACACACACACACACACACTGTGCTTGGTGTTAAAAGGCTGCAGCCCTTTTTCTCTGTCTGGTTTTACTCTGATTGGTCCATTAATATCAGCACTGCAGTGAGGAGAGTTAGCGAGTGAAGCCTCTCCACAAAGCAGGCAGTAATCAAACATGTCCAGGAGAGTGGATGGACACACAGCATACAGTATATATTTATATATGTATTTATACACACGCACACACACACACACACACACACACACACACACACACACACACACACACACACACCAAACCTTAACCAAAGTTTTTCGGGAAAAACAAACCTGCCTCACCCTGGGAACATCTATTAAATGAGCGCAGATGGAGAGACACACAAACAAGCACACATCCATATGGGTTTTAAACAGGCAACTATATTAAACATAAACATACTCAAAAAATGTCCTAATAGTTCCCAATAACTCTCTCAAATAGAAACCCCAAACAAACTTTAGAACACATTTCAGGGAAAAGTTCAACTTTAACCCCATGTAAATATTCAATCATTATTAATTGATAATTTCACATTTTTGATTTAGACCTTCATAGGTTACACTAGAAATGACTTGACTACAGGTGTGTGGAGAAACTAAACACTTGATTACAGAAGTATGCATTCAGATAATCCATGTTAAATGTTGGACTTTAATATTTACATTTCCATGAATCTATTATTTAAGCCAGCATACAGCAATTACATGTCTACGGATAATCAGTGACACCAAGTGTTTGTCATTTGGTGTTTGTGAAATGTCTCTACAATTGGTTTTATGGCTAACTAATCACATTTGTTTGTTTTATGGCAAACTAATCACATTCCGCTCAGAATGCAGCTCTTTTTTTTAATGCTCATTAGCTAGCGTTAGCATGCTAATACGCATCACTGTTTCGGAGAACACAGTCAACAATAAACAAAATAATGTAAGCATTGTCACATGGTGTGCTTGTTGGCATGTTAATGTTAGCATTTAGCCCAAATCTCAATTGTGGTTAGGTTATTCCCGGCAGAAGTGTTAGCATTGCCGTAGACGCTTAGTTCTGTTAACTCCACGTGAAACCAAACGATCTAATTGCAAGCTGTGAATTCGATGCGAGCTATCTCTGCAAAATCCGTCATGAACACAGAATGACACTTCCTCTTTTTCTAATTATAACTAGAAGTTAGTGTCATTGCGTGATCCTTTCATCTGGTCCAGCCCTGCAGAACATTGCTTATGACATTTATGAGTCAAATATCCGCTGCTATTTGAACACTTGTAAACAAAGTGAGTCACAGGGGAGGGACTAAGCAGTTACATTACTAGATTTAAGCTATTTGGAGACTGATATCCTGCTTACATAACATCTGTTGAATATTATATAATTCCTTGAACTCTTTGTGATTGTTTTGCAAAAAATCCTTGGGATACTTAGGGGTAAAATCGCAACTAAAGATACTTTTACTGTGCGGTTACTCATTTTCCATTAACTGTTTTATTTTCAGGATATACTGATTGTTTACTAGTTTTCTAACACCTTTTATTTGACTGGAACCAAGCCTGGATTTATTGCTCACAAAACCTTTTTCAGGATAAAACAGGTTTGACTATCTACGTGTCATCATTCGTTTGAGCTGAAACATATTTCTCACTGGTCTGGTCTCGAGTTGTTCCAGAAAGTCTTAAACTTGAAATCAAGCTACTCAAAGCTTAAGCTCGTATTTTAGGATATTAACCTTATAACTACCATACCAAATGATTTTTTAAATTATGAAATGTTTAGGGGGACAAAAAGGTAAAAAACTGAAAATCACAGACAATTTCCAACTGCTGACAGAGTGTCGCTGTCCGCGGTGCTGAAGCTCTGTCCATTTGGGGAGGCATGTGGCGTAGTGGGTTGTGGCGTAGTGGGTTGTCCGTAGGTGTTCGGATCAGGGGGTCACAGGTTCAAACCCCCACTGCAGTCAGCATGTCGTTGTGTCCCTGGGCAAGACATTTCACCTCAAATTGCTCCTGTGGGGATTGCCCACAGTATTGAGTATGTAAATCGCTTTGGATAAAAGCGTCCAACAATGTAATTTGCTCAAATAATCCCTTTGTGTTTCCTCTGCTTTGTGAGTTTCTGTGAGTGAAAGGATGACAGAGTATTGAATAGAAACTTATATTGACGCTGAAATGGGACAGCAATGTTTTTTTGTTGTTGCAAAGCGTACTTAAAATAAATCTGAATAATACGATTAGTTGTCTTCAGTGTTACTGAGTGGAGAGCTTTTTTACACACAAAGAATCACATTTTATGTAAAAGACTAAATTCTGTAAAATATGAGACTTTCAAATAGTAAAACTGCCAAAAGCACAAAATATAAACCTTCAAGGTATACTATTAACTTTCACAAATCCAAACTCTAAAACCCCCATTGTCAAACAATCAGCCAGACAAAAAGACTCAGCTTTGAAAAATAAACCAATATCTTTTATTTGGTGAGTGGTGTGCATCACTATATGCCCTAAAGGCAGGTCTATGCTCAGTTACAATGTTTTTGCTCTACATATTGAATAGTATAAAGTGATTATATGCATCTGTGTCCATTCAAAACTCCACCTCCTCTTGGTCCTGTGTCTCCTTTTAATCATGAAAACACTCTTTAAAACAACTCGGTAAACACTTGTGATTTAGATTGCAGCATTGAACATTATTGGGTCAACTGTTTTCAATACAACCAGTGTGTGTTCAGAAATGCTAATCCTAATGCATCCCAACAAAATCCATTTTCAGCGTTATTGAATTTAAATGCAATTATGTTCTTTTAAAGGTGAAAGGGCCTACTGATGTTGAATAAAGCAGTGGTTCAACTGAAAGCCAATGGTGCGTCACTATTGATTGTTAATGGAAGTATTGGTTAGTGAAATGTAATCAGGTCTAATCAGACTGATAGTAATGTTTATGTATATATATATAAACTATATACAGTGTAAACATGTACGGTGTGGATGAGTAGATAGATAACCACATTGGAGAACACATCATCATTGGCTGCTTGACCTTCGAATGTCCTTTGGATTAATAGTGTGTTTCTGGAATGGCCGGTTTCATGAGGATGAGTTGAGGTATTCACTCGAGCTCTAGACCCCTCCTCAAAGCGGCTGCAACAGGAGAAAGGAAGACAATGGACAGAAAAGACAATTATTGATCTAGTACAAATGCGACAAACAAAAAAAGACCATCTCTATATTTACTAATTGATTTGTTGTAAAAGTCAAGCATAACATACTGCATGTGTGAGGGTGTGGCATCAGAATTAGTGCTCCACGCTAGCCTTCTAAATGTCCAAATAAGAGGACATAATGTGGGTGATCTCGTTCTTCTTTGTGGGATAATTATCTGAATGTTCAAAAAGCTGAATCCTAAGGAACTGAGTTTGATCTTGTCTTAGTCAGTTTATTCAAATTCTGGTATGGTTTGGAGATGAGGTACTTGAGAAGGTTAAAGGGACAGTTCACCTCAAAAACTAAATGTTCCTCCTACCCAGCGCTAATCTAGATTGTTACAGTATGATTTGCCAAGTTTTGGAGATACCTGACATAGAGACGTCTGCCTTCTCCTGAATTTGAGGAATTTAGTTTGCATTGGTTTGTTGTGCTTAAAGCGCCAAAGTCATACATCGAAAAACTCAATAGCAATGTCTCTTTCAAGAAATAACTAACTAGTTGTTCAAGATAATCAAAGGACCTTGTTGTGAGAAGTTTAATTCATTATCAAAAGGTAGGGATACCTTGGATCTCCTACGCTAACAAATGTTACAGCTCTTGTCCATTTATGTAATTATGTATGTAAGTGTGTGTGTGTGTGTGTGTGTGTGTGTGTGTGTGTGTGTGTGTGTGTGTGTGTGTGTGTGTGTGTGTGTGTGTGTGTGTATTCCTACCAGATGAAAGTTGTTTAGAAGGTGATCTACGTTGATATCATCGTAGCTCTCCTGGAAAGTGTTGGGTTCGTCTCTGGACTCCTCTGCCTCGCTGGTGCCAGGATCTTCTAGGCTGTGTGTAGACAGTCAGTACATATTACAATACTGTACAAACTGGTTAAAAAAAACCATCTACTGTATGGTATTCCATTAAAATTGTACTAGAAGATTTGTTTGTTAAGGGAGTGTCAAGATGGCAGCAAGTGTAAAGTTCAAACTAAAACTTGCTGGGATGTCTACCTTCTCTTTCCTGTTAAGACTGAGTTCAGGTACTTCTTGACGGCCATCTGTTTGCGAAAGCGGCTGTAGTTGTCTGTAAAGATGGCGTCTGAGTGGCGCTTCACTGGCTCCTCCATCAGCTCATCACTGCAGAGGATAAAAGAGATAATGAAATACAGAGAGATGAATGGAAGAGTTAGATCCTCTCCGCAGTTCAGAGGGCAGCAGGGTTACATTCAAAGTCGGTGATTCATGGTGTCTTTGTTCTCTTTGTGTATGATGCATGAATCCCTCCTGGTTGTACACCAAACATGTGATGAAGCAGTAATGGCATAAATTAACCTTTTAGTCAATTACAAAATGCATCATCAAGCAGGTCGGATCTCTTCATTGCAAATGTAAGTAGGTCCTCGCTCTGGTGTTAAACTGTCAGCATTACAAAAATATCACAGCTCATGAAATAATAAAATCTAGTTTTTGATCAAGAGCATAATTAATTTGACTAATGTTCAAGCAGATTTCTCAACAATGTGTAAAAATGACTGAAGGAAAAAGAGATGCACTGTCAAGTATTTGCCTTTATTACTGTAAGAACTTCCCTGAATAACAGCATTCAAATGGACAGTTTTGTATACTCTAAGGGGACATTACCCCTAGAATTTTAAGACGTGCTGAAACTTCAGACTTCCTTACCCTACACTTATTTACCGGTCAACTTTGAATCCTACAGTATTAACAAGTCCAAGTGTTTTTTTATTTCTAGAACTGGCAAAAACAAGGCATATTGGTCTGATGGTTCCATTTAATGGTACATCAGGAAGAGGCTAAAGATGGCTTCTTTATCGTTTGCAAAACTAGCTTTAACATAATACTTTAGCAACCAAGTTTAAAATAGTTTTCAATGCGGTCTAGGTTTGACCGGTTACAAAGCATACAGACTTGATATTTGCTACACTCTTCAAACTGTCAAGTGGAAATGTCTCTTTTGCCTCATAAAAAAAACCAAATTTTAAAGTTTGAATGTGAAAAATAAGCCACTAAGTTAAAGGGAAATTCAGCCTTTTTGCCATCTATCCGGACGGGAGTGACCTACCTGACCCGCTTCCCGATCAGAGACTCAAGGTACCTCCGCGCTGAGAGCTGTCCGAGCAGTTTGCTGTATCCGCTGGTGAACAGACCGTCCGCGTGTCTCGTCGGTCTGCACATCATCACAGGGCAGTAACATTAAACTCTGCTTGGATTTGACATATTAAAACACATATAAGGACGACAGCAACTGTCAAATAGACGCGCATCAGCTCGAATTCCGAGAGTAATTATCATCCTCTCACAAACCTGCTCACATAACATCTACATGTCAATCATAAACAGCGCTGGATTAACCCTTTCAGCAGTTTCTTTTGGAAAAAACCTGGTCCTCTTACCTCATGGATGTGTATGGCAGACTCAGAGTCCGGGAGTACAACACACTGCACAGGGCTATTAGGAAAAGCAGCTGGGGGCCGGTTCGTTGTAACATCGCTTTACACCTGAGGATGGAAACGATAATATTTTTGTTTCTTTCATCTCAAAACCGATCCCAATGAAGAAACCACACCATTAACGCCAATTTTTCTACCGAAATCATCATGTATGCTCTTCTCATTAACCGTAAAATCTTAAATTACGTGAATCAGTGAAGTATTGAAAAAGAGGTTAATCTCTCGATGCAAAACAAAAAAAGAACCAGAAGAATGCTTTAGCAAAAAAAGCCTTTTTGACGTCGATTTTTAATAAACCACTTGTTTCACGATTCCTTTTGCCACAAGAGAGCAAAAGATAGCAGCGAAATGCAGTGCGTAATTACGCACGGCTGGCAAGGACAAAACCGAGGACACTGCAACTCTATTTTGTCCAAACTGACTACGAGCCACATTTTTATGAGATGAGTTTCTTCTCATAAAAACGTCCCGTTCCTTCAATGAGTAACTGTCAAAATGCTTTAAATGTCGTCAATAACAAAGTCTGATTAGACTGTGGAATGTTAATTAATGGGCAATGTTATGCCCACATATGTTAGCGATAATATATATGCTCAAATTACAAAGAAGTGAGAGTGGACCATACAGATCGCTTAATGGTGAATTTTGGCGGATGAATGTAACATAAATAAAAGACTACATCCAACGCGTAATTACGCACAGCCATGCACTAAACATCATACTAGACCACAGCTAAAACATTGCTGTGCAGCATGAACTGCAAAGACAAATCTTTTTGAAGTAAAAATCCATTTGATCTCTCAATGTCATTCGGAAAGTATTATCAAATCCTCACTGAAGCACGCACAAATATAAGACAATCACAAACACGTTGTTCTGAAAGAAACTGTAAATATAAAATCTTACATTTGTTGCAAAAGTAGGTCTTCTGCTTTTTTCTCTGCCTGCTGAGCTCTCCAAAGTCCTGTTCTGGAGCTACTGTTGTATCTCCACTGTTGACCCGATGTTTGCTGACTCTCTTTCTCTTTGCCTTCAGCTCTGCTCCCGCTTTATACACCTGATGTTTCTTGTGGAGCACGAGCAGACATCAGATTTGTTGTGGGCCTGAGACGTCAGCAGGTCGTTGCTTTCGTCATTGGTGTTGCTCATGGTCGGAACAAAACAGGCCTATGGTGGAATTAGTGGGAAGTTTTTTCTTCTTCTGAATTAATCGTAGGAATAACCAATTTATGAATCATCTGATCATTTCCCCTAGGCATTTCTACCTTCAGTGTGCGGGTCAGCTGCTGTAGGAAGCCAAGAAGGGAGAGAAATCTGAGAGGAAAAGTCAAACTTAGGCTAATTGTCAATATGAAAGGACACTCAAAGGCAATGCTTTGTGCATATGTCCGTAAAACAGGCTAAACTGAACGGGTAAAGCCTCAATATATATGTGGATTTTAACAGAAATTGGCCTACAGTCGCATGTTGATTTCAACACAGGAATCATGAACTATAGTCTACTCTGTCCCTCAAGAGTTACCAACAACAGTAATCTATTTATACAATTTAAAAAGGGATGAATAAGATAACTGTCAAATTATATTATTACAAATTGGAAACAGTATGTAAATCATGTTAATAGTGTCTATGACTCATTTTTAAGGCAGACGATAACAAAAGGTGAGCTTTAACTTAAAGCTGGCTACACCAAGTAAACGCAATGTATTGAGCAGGCTGCGGTAATACAACACAAATCAATGCAACCAAAAAAACAAAAACCTAGAAACAAAGGGTATGGCTCAAAATTGCAGCACATCCGCGAGGAAACAGGAAGAATATTGCAGGGACAAACCATATATTTACAAGGCCTCGGCACACTAAGTAACACAGACGATAAACTTACAGATCACAACCGGGACACACAGGTATTTATACACCCCGAACTAAGCGGACACAGGTGGATTTAATCAGGGCGGGGCAAACGATAAAAAAAATGCGGGAAAAGCGAAGACAGGAAGTGATGACAGAAGGAGTGTTTTTATAAAATATAAAAGGAAAAGGGAAAAATTAACAGATATAATGATACATTTTGGACTCTTAATTGTTCTCTGTAAAATCTTAATAGTAAAAAAAAAAAACTTGTGATGTGCTTTTGGCTTATTGCTTGTTCACAGGTGAATTCAATCTGTAATGCAATGAAATATAACGTGATAAGATAAGATGCTACTTTATCTTATCAAGAGTTCAATCTCAACGAGACGGCCTAATTAAATAATCATACAATAAAAAAAAGTATGCTATTTCTTTTCCTCCAGCTTCACTGTGAAGAAGACACGTTTTTGTTACAATGAGATGTGTTTCCAAGCATATTTTTCATCCCTTGTATTGTCCTGTCATTACACAAATAATTAATTCCACAACAATGTAAACAAAATCCTTCTGCAGCCATTTATATCCATTTGTTTGTTTGTTTTTTCACAGAAGTGAGCGATGAGTACCACAGAAGGTGCTGAATGAAAACACAAGGATGTTGCAGATTACCACTTTAGGTAAATACAATAACGTTTTAAAGGGTGTTACTGTCACAGGCTTTCTATTTCTGGTTGTGCTGGGCTTTGACAAAAGAACAGCACACAGGACTGAAGTGTCTCTGAATCCACCCACAGTGTCCCTGATGAGTCTCATTTGCTGGAATGGCACAGTGAATTAACCGTGACGTCAACCGGCGCCTCATCCATCCATGCATCCATGCATCCATGCATCCATCCATGCATGCATCCATCCATCCATCCATCCATCCATCCATCCATCCATCCATCCATCCATCCATCCATCCATCCATCCATCCATCCATCCATCCATCCATCCATCCATCCATCCATCCATCCATCCATCCATCCATCTGTATAGGTGAGAGAGCAGAGAGATAACACTGGTGTTAAATTAACCAGATAAAGAGATAAGCAGTAATCAACTTTAAAATAATTAGATTACAGCCATGAAGCGTTTGAATATGCAGGCGATCGTTGTTATATTTCCACACAAAATGATATTCTCATTATGTTAAATATAATGGATTTCAACTCATATGACTTTACTTGATATACTTAACACTGATGGATTATAATTTGTCTTTGATTGATATCTTTATCTGCATTGAAATGCAAAAGAAGATTTAAGTATTCACAGTTTGTTTGTGTTTCATATTTCTTTAAATAATATAATTTGGTTTTAGGGTGACTTTGTAACATCTGTCCAGGGACAACAGGCGGCAAACATCAATATAATATTGGCTTACTATAGCACATTTACAGCAATGTTTATTCATGTGGACTATCTCTGATAAATAAAAAAACTTCTATTAGTAATGTGAATGGTATTTTGAGTCAGCATGACCTCCCCTCTCCTCCTCTTCCTCCTGCTCCTCCTGCCTCTCCTTAACCATGATGGCACCATCTGAACCGTAATGTGATCAGTGCAGAGAGAAGTAGATTACGCAGGAGTCCATAGGAGAAGGAGCTGGTCTAATTGACAGCAGTGATCGGACACAGATCCCTGCAGGAAGAGGAAGCTGATGGAGGAAACATCAGCGCCATTATGTTGATGGAATGTACGGAAGGAAACGTTCCTATGAACGAGTAACAGGCCGTCCCACCTGGGTATGCAGGGCGACACAGAGGACTAAGGACCACTATTTAATGTTTATTTGTTTCTCATTGGTACTTTAATAACCCCACTGATATCTTTATAGGAAGTGTTTAGTATCTTTGTGCCACTATTACTGCAACAACTACTGTTGGGACTTGTTAGTTTTAGTATCACATGTTGTACTCCTTATGCCACTTGAACTCCTGTCAATAATAGTACAGTCACTCAAGTCCACATTGAGACATGTGGATTTGAGTGACTTGTCTGTATTGTCTGGTTTCAGTATACATATTTAAATGAGCAAATGTTCAATATTGCCAATGTTGACATTATAACTGCCTGTGTAATGTTGCCATGTTAAACATGCACACACTGAGAAGGGCATGGACATGATTTTCACACTCAAAGTGATTGGGAGGATTTTATTTGAGCTTTTTTTGCATGAATTTATTTCACTGAATATACATAATAATAATAATAATAATTCAAAAACAACTCCTTGTCATACTTTTGAACAAGTTAGATTAATTTGCTGAAAATATCATGATTAGACAGGTACTAATAATCTCTGTGGTATATTAGAAAAAGTGACTTGACTTGGGACTACTGTAATTACTCTTGAGGTAACTTAAAACATTTAAGTTGTAACAATAAACAACCCTATGCGGAGGATCACCGGTGGATTCTGTTCGGTCCAAACGGTGAATAGACATTCAAAATCTTTGCATCACGACTCTCTGCGGCCGGTGTGATGAGGGGAATCCCCCGGCTTGCTGAGTGCCTCCTCTGAAACACATTATCCAATTAACAAACCCACTCTGACGGGCACATTACTGCTGGCAGCCTGACGGGACTCACTGGGGTCTCTCAATCTTATATGTGTGTGTGTCTATATATCTGTGTGTGTGTGTTACGTGGATCTATAGAATAAAGACGCTGAGATAAGATAGAGATAGATGATGACAAAAAGTCTCGGTATCATTAAATCCGGCAGCCACAATACCAGCTCTGCCAGATTTAGAAGCACTCCTTTAATGTTTCACCTGATAGACTCAGAGTAAGTTGGTCAAACAAGAAGGTAATAAATAATATAACGCCTTCAAAATAGTGATTTATTTTGCCAATAATAATAATAATAATTCCAAGGATTGTAATATGTCCTCCACTCTGACTCAGTCGGTGCTCGGGCCCTAAATATGCATTGCTGTGTGTTACATATAACAGTAACTTATGAGTATGAAGGAAGTGACCTTTATACTAACCGTGTTTGTGCAGAGATGACTGCATTAGGACATCCCTCCACAGAAAGAATGACAGGCCTTTACACATATCCGAAATGTCGTCATAGGTGCCACTGTCAAACAGGTTTCCATCTCCCACGAGGGAAGACGTTTCTGCTCCTGGCTCAGCGTGGACCCAGTTGGGTTTGGTGATGGATTGATATCCGCAACTAGAGGAAATTACTGATAAATTACGGCTGAACTCCCCTGATGGTTAAACCTGGTTTACTGCAGCTGGAGACAGGCTGCATTCAGAGCTGAAAATGGATCAACACTGCCGGATGAAATCTGGGAAATGAGCAACAATTATGCCTTAATGTAAATGACGTGTTTACAACGTACATAATTTCCTCCCATGGTGAACTGGATAATAATGACTGGAATCAATTTTAGCTAACAGACTAGTTTGGTAGATAATTTTGTTTTAGTTTAATTCCCCATTTTGAAAAATATGCATATTTGTTTTTCTTTCCAAAAAAGCTGAGGAATCTCATGTCATGTTAAGTACTGGGGTTAGGCATTTGTTAGTGTTATGTGCCTAGGTTGTATCATTTATTGAACAAGGACCATGCATCAAATACATTCATTTCCAAAAGAGAAGAGATGCAAGATTTTCTGCACATACCAATCAATAAACACTGAAAGCTGTCTCACAATTATAAAACAGATCAAAGTACAGATGTATAAAATGTAAATACCAACAGTATATGTGCTGTTTCAACCGTGAACATTTAAAACCATCTGGTGGAAATTAGCCTCTGTGCTGGAACTTCTGGACAAACAACAGGCAGGCATTGACATCTGGAAGTTCTATCATCATGTTTTCAACATCCCTGTGTTGCACCCGTACAGCGACTATAACCTGTGCTCACTAATCTGCTCTATAGCTGAAGATAATTCACGGAAAAAGGTGAATGGACAGAAAAGCTATTCATTAGGAAAAGGTCAAAAACGTGACTCATTGTGTTCTTTCTCTTTATTTGTAATGGCATTTTCTGTTTGGATACAGTTTTTTAACTTTTTATTGTCAATTATCTTTGAAATGCGATGAGATCGTTTCACCTGATTCTGGTCGTTATGCTAAACTAAGCTAACCTCCTTGTGATCTGTGTACTTTCGTGAGTGTTGATGTTTTCGTCTGCTCTGACAGAGAAAGCATTCCCCAAATGTTGAAATGTATTTAAAACTATACTTCCAGTTATTTATTTATTTATTTCTGTCTCTCTCTCTCTCTTTCTCTCTTTCTCTCTCTCTCTCTCTCTCTCACACACACACACACACACACACACACGCACCGGCTCCCTGGAGGTTCCCATAATGGATGCCTTGTTTTTGGTGCGCGGCCTCTTGTACAGATCAATTACACCGCCAGAGCTCTTCATTGCATCCTAAATTAACTAATACATAAATACATTTGGCCCCGATTCAGCCCCATGGCAGACATTACGTACAGCAATGCCATCCAGATACTTTAATTAGTGCAACACACACTCATACACACACACACACACACACACACACACACACACACACACACACACACACACACACACACACACACACACACATAAACCTTTCCCTCATTGGCTGTCATTAACCCGCAAAACCTTACCCATGATGCACTCTGGTCTGGCTCTCATGGGGACCAATACGATTACGTTATGCTCCCTGTGCGGGAAACCGATGTTATACGTCATTGACTAATTTGTGTCTTTCTTTCTTTCTTTCTTTCTTTCTATCTATCTCTCTATCTCTCTCTCTATCTATCTCTCTCTATCTATCTCTCTATCTATCTATCTCTCTCTCTATATATATATATCTCTCTCTCTATCTATCTCTCTATCTATCTCTCTCTCTCTCTCTCTCTCTCTCTCTCTCTATCTCTCTATCTATCTCTCTATCTCTCTCTCTCTTTCTCTCTATCTATCTATCTCTCTCTATATCTCTCTATCTATCTATCTATCTCTCTCTC